TGAGATATAACCAAATTTATCTCTTTAAATATATTGCATTAGCCGACTAAATAGCAATAGTGACTTTTACACGTCCAGTTCTCGAATTAACAGTCATCGTAGTTCTTGAATAAATTGATAGATGGCGCTGCATTAAGTTTTTATAGCTTGTAAAGATGGCGCTCAAATTTAATTTTAAACCTGTAATAATATTTCAAATTGCATAGATCGGTTTCATTCAGCAGAATAGCAAGTTCTATCCAGGAAATCAAAACATTTATCTGGGGATAATATGTTCGCGGAAATACGACGATTATTAAGAGGTAGTTAAAACAATTCAATAAAACATACGGAGAGAGTGTCTGTCCATGTTTCGCCAGGAGTTTATACAAACCCAATATATTTAATAGATATAATTACTTAAAACCATTGTAAAAGTCGTTTGTACACTCCAAAGCATTTTGTAATTATTTTAATCGATATTAATTAATCGTCTTTTATATGCATTACCAATTAAAATATCTAAACTGTATCACGCAAATGTTTACTTAGCAATTACACGAAGGTGTCGGTGTCTGTATCACATCGTAAATCACATCTGCGTGATATAACAATTAGCCGGTATGATAGCAATGTTAATTAAACTGCAATAATACCGTGAACAACCGATTATTGCATTGCGTTTATGTAATTTGGCTACGTCGCTATTGTTTCACCGCCAAATTTTCATGAATTTAGAACCCTTTCGATATAATAAAAATCGGGTTCTATTTTTAAATATTACTCGTTATTTCTGCAAATATTCTTTTTACAAAAATCAGTCGAGATGCGTTTTAGTGAACAATAAAATATGTAGATATCTATTTGGGATATGGGTCAAACTTATTTCTCTATGAGAAGGTATTATTAGTACACTTTGTAAGACGTATAGCCAATTAAAAATAAACAATATATTGTATTTTTTAATACGATTAATATATTTATGTAAGTCTGTATCGCACAGCAGTCTGATGATATTATTAAAGGGCCATTTAGATTTTTCTTATTGACATAATTCAAACCGTAGAGACAACGCCTAGGAATGTCCGGCATTTTGATTGCGTCGCATTTCATTGATAGCTCCGTTTGATTGCTGGATTCCTGGTACCTGTTCTAGAGATGTCTTCTATCTTTAGATTGTACAAACCACTAACTTAACTTATACCTCTACGCCATCTTAAACTTCGATTACAGATTTTGATGATTTTGTTTGTATATTTAACAATATATGGAATTTTTGCAATTTATGGAAACTAGATAAACTCATCTTAAAAAAAATCTTGTCTATTATATAGACTAAATTAACTGAAAAAGTATTCTTATGTGAGTTTAAAATCCTTTTTTTTGTAACCCAATTTTACATTTCCAAAGACGTCAAAACGTAACACATTTTTCCTCTCAAAACCGTAAAATTACATGGCAACTCTCGGGAAAACCCGTCACACTGTATGAAAAATCACGAAACATGAGTAGGTATGAAAATTGCATAACTTGCTTGATTAAATTACGAACTTGGCGTGGTTAATTAACACTGTACATAGGATTTCACTCAGCGTCACACAACCCCAAATTTACACTGGAGGCTCATTAGGTGACATCTCTTTGATGATATAGAAAAATTGTACACATATTTTCATATAAAATTATGCCTGTATTTCCCAAGTGAAAACTCGTTGCCCAGTATGTGTAGGCACAGGCAGATTAATTTTACGTTATTCTACGTGTGCGTGAATCTTAACAAGCTATTGTCTAAGTATGCTCTATAATCAGATTTCTATATTTAAAACCGATATCTTCATAAAATATAATAACGTATAATACAGATCGCCGACTTATATTGGCATTTTAAATATAGAATCATAAAAACTTGTTGCGGGATTCAATAGGAGAATTGGATCGTTCGTCGTACATAACAAAAAAGTTGATTAATGATAGCACCGTGTACCTAGTGCTTGTTATGTTTTATCCATGTTAAAATATATAAGGTCTGTGACTTATATGTACCTATTATGTTTCGTTTCTATTTGAGAACCTACTAGGTATACCTATATAGTATAGAAAAATATCGTTTAAATTGTCTAGTATCAAAAGGACTCCACCTAATATTTTTAGAACAAAAATAAATCATGACCACGTTATTCCAACAATAGCGTTAATTGACAAATAGTGGAAATGATAAATACAGGCGTCAGAAATTTTCCTAAAATACACCCTTTGATCGTCATTTGATTAACAGCTACCGACTGTCGCCCGCGCAACAATATTAATACTTTTAATATTTAGTCTATTATATTTTGTCTATGATTAATATTACGGAAGAAATGGAATATTCACACAATGTTCTAGCAGAAATAATATTTGCGTATAAAATGCCATTTATAAAAACCGTTTGAAGTCATCTGTCATCTAGTACATATGTATTTGATGTTAACACCGCATTAAAGTATTATTTATTATACTTTTATGTTAAATAGAGTGCTAGACTGTGGGTGTTCAAACCCCGGCTATTCACAAATTTTATGAGCCTAAGAAGTCCGAAGCCAAGACTATGGGTTATATTTTTTGTTTAATAATTAAAATTGTAATATAATTAATCTCTTAGTTTTCAGTTTTTGGTTGGAAACCTTTTTTTATCAGTGTTTGTATTATATTCTATTAACAACATTTTCAAATTTAGAAATTGGTTTCGATATTTTCTTTTGGACTGTGTGACAAATTACTTGGAATAATAGTAGCTTTATAATAAAACGTAGACTAAACATAAATATTTGTTACTAGGGTTACGTTATTTTTCCACGTAAAAGCAATTAAAACCTACGAGATCTTTAGTCTACGTTTTATAATGAGGCCGCGTTCGCACATTGTCATTAAACTTACTTATTACAGTTGAAAAGGGCATGAGAACTCGCTGACTCACACAAGTTAATAAATCAAAGCAGGTTATCAAATTATCAAAAGCACGTGGGATTTAATTTCCGTCGGTCAGTTTAAAGACAAGTTTCTTGAACCAGGTTGAAGATTTTATCTTAACCCCATAATTGTGGGCTAGGACAGATAAAAACTAAATAGATACTTGGAATTCATTTATGTTACGGTTACGGGGAAGTGCTGATGGCAAAATATTCTATATTAACGAGGTTCTATGTAAAGAAGTAATAGTCAACGATATTATAATTGTTACTTATGGATATTTGGAAATAGAGTGTTAAACATTTTTATTTACATGGTTTTTAAAGGCGTATTATAAGACATTTTTCTAGAAAGCATTTTAGTTTAAACACATAGGTAATTATAATTATTAGTTTTATTAATGTTTTAATACAGAAATATTTATAGTTTTTTATACTCTATTGTAGGGAAATACTTAATGTTGTCACTGTATCAATGTATGATGTAGTCCTATCAATGATTAATGTAATTGAAATATTTAAATGATACCTTGAAAAATCAGGAAATATAAATGAATTTTTTGAATTTTAATTGTTCGAATGCGCAGCTGGTCTGCCCCTCATGTAAATTCTTAATCCCAAAGTTAATGAACGTCATATATTTATAAGTGTGTAAACTGAACAAAGCTAGTCTGGAATGTAAATGGAAATTGAAAATTAAAAAAATTCGGGGTCCTCCCGCCTGGGGAGCGGCGAAATCGTAAATTTAAATTGTCCATCCCTCAACATGCAAATTTTCCGAGTGCCTTTCAATTCCAACCCACTGTGAAGTATTAAGGCTTATGAATTTATAAATCACATCATACATATAAACTTCATATGAATTTAGGAAATCATAAAACGCTGGTTTTTTTATTTATAAATCGCAATGAACCTTTCATTCAAAATACTCTTTGATTTAGGATATTATTTATATAACAAATAACATCTGCAAGAAACATATTGTCTAGAGAGACGCCGCCATCATTAACTGTCGCTAATGAAGCTTGTGCATTTGAGTTTTAAATAACTTGCCTCCGTTCAAGGGGCGGGTATCGGCGCTGAGTACTTCTCTATGTAGATTTTTTACTTAAAGGAAATGTTTAACAAACCATATCAAAAATTTTGCTTCATAACTTTACAAAGACGTCCATTTACGTAGTTCAGTTTTAAACTCGCTAACGAATGGAAGCTACATCGTACAATTTCATCAAAAAACTTCTGTAGATCGACGTGAGGAATTCGCTTTTATTACTGCTCGCATTACATGACTAGTTTTTATTGTTGGTAAATTCCAGTAGCTGTCGCGTTAAGTACCCTATAAATTTCATACATTACAACCAGTTAAGTGAGATCTTACGATAAAGTTGTAGATTCAATGATACCGACATATCAAAATACAAATTAACGTCGTTGTAATGTTACATCGTCGGCCTCGGCTTCCTTGTCACTCATGCTCCATCAACTGCTTCGAAACGTCGAGGCTATGACAACAGGTCAGCCATATGACGCGGTTGTATTTCATCTCCCTGTCTCGTTTTTGAGGAACCGTTTCCTTCGGAGGGACAAAGACAGACACTTCTTGAGAATGCTATATCTGCAGAGAACAGAGGGTCCTGTATAGACAGGTTGTCGCTAATAGGCGTTTACTCAAAAGATATGCGGTTTATTAACGTCATGTGTGTTCTAATCTCAGAACACGTGTTAGTCTTAACATTGCCAGATCCAAGGCGTAATGTGATGATTTGCGCGACTCCCGGTAGCACGCCAATCATAATATTTAATCGATTGACAAGACGCTGATTGACACCAGGAAAAAGAATTTAATAATAGATTAACTAAGTGCATTAAACTTTCTTTCCAGATTCGACGAGCATCTGATGAGGAGACACCGTCCGTTCGCACCTTGTGAAGCCTTTGTGGATTCGAGCATTGCTGTGTAGTGAATGGAATCCGAAGTGTGTGTGTGACTGATAAAGTGATAGTGTCGGCCCCAGTGGCCGAGAACCTGCGACGGAAGATACGGACGCGAGCCGCGCGGGCTGCGGGCCCGCGATGAGCGCCAACAATTGCGACAGCATGACATATTTCTCAAACGCCTACATGCCGGACATGAGGAACGGAGGTGGCCATGACCACCAACAAGCCCACGCGCACTATGGAGCTGTCCCGCAGCAAGGACACGAGTTGGAAGGGTGCGACCCACAGCTCAGACCTGCACAGCACCATTATTCTGCACAGACAGCACCTGGAATGCCCTATCCTAGGTTTCCACCCTACGATAGATTGGGGTATTACCAGCAGATGGAACAGAATGGCTACCGGCCTGATAGTCCATCCCAAATGGGTCACATGGGCCCTAAAACGGATGGATATGGACCGAACGGCCATCAACCACCGGCTCCAGCCGTTTACACGTCGTGTAAGCTACAAGCGGCGGCGGCGACGGCGGGCGGAGTCCCAGGGAGTCCGCCCCTGGAGCAGGCGCAGCAGATGCCCCACCACATGCATCCACAGCAGCATATGGTGCAGCATGGGGTACCACCGCACCAGCAGCACCTCATGTATCCAGTGGATGACATGCAGCATCAGACACAGATGCCACCCATGCATCAGCAGTCCATGCACGGGCAACAGGCGCCCCCTCAGCAAGCACCTCCAAACACCAACGCGTCGCTACCTAGTCCGCTATATCCCTGGATGAGAAGTCAATTCGGTAAGTTTTACCTTTGGTCACATTAAATAATAATCTATTGAAAGTAAACGTTTATGCCTAACAAAAAGATCTTCGCAACTCGTACGCATTGATGAAACAATGAGTGCCAGAAACAATGAAATTCCTTCTGTGCAGGGATTATTTATGGGCTTAACAGGCGTTCAAAAGGAATTTCACTTTTGATAAAATTTACAACTTCCGACACAAAAGCGTTCACCTTCTGTTTTGCTGACACCAATGCCGAACAATACGCCCTCAAGTTGCGCTACCGACTCCTACTGTTTCTCAATTTGTCTGAGAACTAATTTATGACTTGGTTGCTTGATTTAGGGCCTTTATTGTAATCACATTGCATCTCATTTTAAAATGAATTGCAAAGTTTAGTTTTCACCCTACAATCGTCAAGTAAGCTTCGATATTGCTTACCAGTAATAGTAACTACGCGTCTTAAATTCGCGCGGAGTTTAACCTTCAAATATAAATTAAAGTGTTAAAACAAGTGTTATTTTGAGTGTAAATAAATGGTATGTTATTTAAATTTTAACATTGAATAATTTATTATATTTTCAATCAAAGAACAGTATACATTTATGTAAGTCGACAGGATTTTAAGCAGTAGGTACATATTATAACTTACTAACGACTAGATATATAAACAAAGAATAATAATAATACTTACTATGAATATCTTAAATATCCACTACTGACTACTGAATGTAAAATTTTATTGATGATTTAATTAATTAAGATAGTTCATATACAATACATATACCTATCGCAAATTACTAGTAAGTTTAATATTTATCTGAATAAAAGTAACATGAAGTGCCATAAGCTAACTAAATAATATATAAATTTGCAAAACATCCTCACGACCCCATGTCATAACCCTTCTCTGGCCAAACCCGAATCCATTGGCAGAACTTGCCAATTTATACTCTTAGAAGCTAGCTCCAAGTTTGTCGAAGTTAATTAATTTCGAGCGTTTGATGAGGCAGAGATGGATTTTAACTTTGCCTTTGTACTACGTGCCAGCAGATATCTAATTTGTTTGTCAACATTAATTATGTTTTACAATGTTCTTTGATAATGTGATTTATTGATACAAATTGCGTAGATCATGAATGAATCCATAACAGTAATATTTTCACAGCTTTTCAAGGTTATTAATGTTTTAATATCGGAATTAGTATAATAAAACACTATTTTGACCGGATTGAAGTTATGTATTATTATAAATTTACAACTATTTAACATAATTTTAAATTTATCCGACGTTTCGCGTGCTTTACAGCGTGCGTTTTCAATTTCAATAGAGAAGACGGCCTAAAATTGTCAAACACCTGGGATCCAATAATATCCAAATTAAAATCTCAAAAAGAAACACAATCCGCGAAAATAGAGGACACCGTAAGCCATTTTTGCCAAAACCCTCCATCTTTTAGTCGATACCAACTCCGGGGAAATAAATACAGATAATGCAACTTTCTCTGCAGCTGTGATACTTTTTGACATTCAACATCTTTTGTCTTCAGTCACCGTGACCACGCACGCTGTAAAGCACGCGAAACGTCGGATAAATTTAAAATTATGTTAAATAGTTGTAAATTTATAATAATACATAACTTCAATCCGGTCAAAATAGTGTTTTATTAAATGAATAAAAGTTATGTTAATCAAAGACAATACTATCGGAATTAGTATTTTTTTCTAGTAAATCAAATGAAAATAAAAATTTGTCAATCAAATGTTACATCTACACTATATTGAAGAGGTGTGTAACATACCTACTAGTAATCACAACGTTCGTAAATACATAAAAAAAAACATAAAATCATTGATCTTTTTAGGGCCTCAGATTTCTGTATCTATTTCATGATCGTTTGCCAATCTTATAGGCAAGTAGGTGATCAGCCACCTCTGCCTGACACACGCCGTTGACTTTTTGGGTCTAAGGCAAGCCTGGTTTCCTCACGATATTTTCCTTCACCATTTGAGCGAATGCGCACATAGAAAGACACACATACAATCGGGGATCGTACCTACGACTACTGGGATGAGAGTCGCACGCTAAAGCCTTTAGGCTAACACTGCTAAATTATTCATAAATACATAACTCAGGTAAAATAATGATATATGATTCGACATTATAAGATGATATTTTATATTAACTAAGTACAGTGACCACTTAAACTCTACCTTACTTCATAAAAAGATAACATTCTACATACTGACAATGTATTTAGCGCATGACATATACCATTCGCAACCTCTTGACAGCACATTTAGAACGCTTTGAAGCTCTTGAAACTATTCGATTTTTTAAGAAAAAGTCCCACCAACCACAGCGTTTTATAAATAGATGTTAAATTGTTAATAATTCTGGAATGCAGAACATACGTAACAAGTATGTGTTATACTATCTTTGAGTATCGTTTGACCAATTATGACGGAATCTGAGTGATTTATTGCTTGAGAATATCATATCGTACAGAACAAGTTCGTATTGAGATTATGGATTATTTTGCATTCTCTTAATGTTTCCATGCGTGGTCCTTATTTGCACTTATTTAATAACTCTTTCCTCTTAGAATTCCCTCATACAATAGAGTATATATCGTATATACATTATACACATTACTTATATCTTAATATATACAAATTACGTGTCACGTTGTTTGTCCGCTATGGACTCCTAAACTACCGAACCGATATCAATCAAATTTGCACACCGTGTGTAGTTTGATCCAACTTAAAAGATAGGATAGCTTACATCTCAATTTATACCCGCAATATTATTTTATTGCAAAATATTTGTTTATTATTTGATAGTCCCAATTCTAACAGATGGCGCTGTGTTGAAAGTACCAACGTTTCACATAAGCTACAATTTAATGGCATAACCACCAAAAAGCATGGTGGTCCCCATGACTGGTGATCTCCTACAGCAAACTTTTCCTACAAAAAAGTTTGCTACTATGTAATATAACAAAAACCTTAGCAACAGCAACGCTTGGCCGGTCTGCTAGTATATATATATATATATATATATATATATATATATATATATATATATATATATATATATATAAATAATGGAATCTATTAGACAAGTTCAATGTTATTTAAATTAAAATTCTAAACACACAATACTTACCAAATAGTACTTCAATAGCGAACTATAATTGGCTACGTCATTTGAATTATATAAATCACTCTTAGGTGGCATCTGAAGTCGTATAGACCGGAAAATCCACTTGAACAATTTTCTATTCCTAGCAGAAGGTAGGCCGCGATAGAATTGAGGTGGAAATGGAAATATAATGGAAATCACCCCCTGTCAGCACAATGCCGACTTGTTACATTTCATTGTTCGGTTATCAGGCCTCGGGCTTTTGTGCCCGGTCGATGATTGAATAGAAGAATTTGTTTTGCCCTCCGCTTTCTGCTGCCGAAAGCTAGAATCGTTTGGTAAACGATGAACAATTACAAATAAATGCCGGTCACTCTTTGTTAGAGTTAAAATAAATATTCAATGATTTAATCAAAATATGTTTCAAAAATATACTTAAGAACCTAATTATTATGTACAAGACGATCTAACTCATGCAAATAGTTATTATGTATATAACAATGTTAATAACAATTTTCAGCATGATTTTATACAACCTTTTTAATAATTTATACTATTATATTTGAGTGGAACACATTTTATGATAATAGGAAAATTTACGAATCGTATTAATTACGTCGCGTTGAATATTAAACTCTGATATTAGACTTATTTTCGAATATTTTTCTACCTACGGTATCTATAGTCTATACCTTACATAACGTTGCTTGGTACAATGGCGTAACTGCGGCGCCAGTTTTCCTTCTTTCCGATAAACTCCATTGTAAGAACTTACCTTTGATAGATCCTCGACTGTCGAGACCAACAATGACGATAAATGTGCCCACAGATTGAAGTTCTTCGTTCGGATTCTTTTCGAGGGTTCATTTTCTCTTTTCACAGTACCACGTCATGAATGAACGTACTTAACGTTAAGGAATTCGATTTTTAAAAATTCCTCTAATAAGTTTTACATTAAAAGTGGTTAGGTTCCAAATTTAAATGTTTTTTTTAAGTGTGAAATCACGCAATGACTTATTTTGGTAATTTAAATATTTATGTTGTGATAAATATTATACTGAACTTTTAGAAATGAAGTGATTAAAGTCTTTTTAAAATAATTCTGAATGTTTATTTACTTTGTACTAAGAAAATATATCCCCTGCATTCCATCGTTCCCCTGTCTACACGTGCATATTTGCGTAGCATTTTTTTCGAAGTAAATATACATTTCTGGTTTTATTTAGTAGATCCGGTTTTGAAACAGATAAATTGCTAGTCGAACACAAAATATTATTTTAGACATTTCTCGAAATAGCACCGTTTATTTTAGTGTTCTATTTTTACTAATTATCCACGTGCATGAATTTAACATATTATAATGTTTAATAATACTGTGCCTCAGCTGGACTTAACAATGAAGTTGAACGTAGTACTGCATTGATACAGAAGATGGCGCTGAAGTACTTTTTTAATTTTTTGTGACTATAGTGATTTGTCGATAATTTTCTCAAAAAAATATGTTTTATTCGAGAGATAAAAATTAAATTAAATATTGTCAATCTGCTTTTAGTAATTCAATTTGGATGTATATAATAAAAAGTAAAATAAAACATTACACATATATTTTTTTGTAATCTATAAAGAAGAACAAAAAAATGAAATCATCTGAAGCTTATTAAAAAACCATCACAGCCCATAATTATAAACCTTTATCTGAGCCCTCAGCCAATCCCATTATTATTTACGTCCGACGAAGGTTAACCCACACAGGTATATTATATACATATTGACAATATTGCGTGAATGTGCGTGTCACTTTTTATTGCCATACTTTCGGCATTTCCCAAGAACATAGGTATCTTTATCTTCTATTTTGTCGATATTCAAATAAACGGACCTTAATTAAGTTAGCCAATAAATACTGATGTTAATTCAAAGAAATAATTAAGCAATAAATGTAAAATTTCTATTTAATAACCAATGTATCGACATGTCTTGATTCTTAAATATTATTCAACCTAAATATTTCAGTATTAAAATGTATGTGTAATATGTGTCTTGAAAGATTTAAAGCTGTTTAAAGGAAATTTTGTTGACAGCGTTGGCAGCATTATTAAAATTGCTGCCTTCCTTTTTCTTCTTATATCGCTCTCTCGCTCTTGCGCTAAGTGAGGTAAGCTCTACCCTACATTAATTAAACGTCGAGATAGAACGCCAATCAAACTTTGACCGCTGCTAAGCCGATGAAGCCGAACTTATTATATGGTATTAAAATTCCATTTAGCTCCGTGAACCATTTCAAATTGAAACAGAAACGTAATAACCCATATTAAATTATGATTACGTCTTCTATCCAATAAGGATATTGCTACAACTGAACCTCGAAACAATTTAGTAATTGCGGTCGATATATTCTATCATCGCTATAGTCCTATAATTAGGATATTACATGTCATTAGCTAATAAAAAAGCGGCATCATATGGTGTGTACACATGTGTGAGTTGACAGCACATAAATCATATATACTTGCGTAGCGATATCGGAGGAACGGAAAAAACCCCTCGTTTCCTGCCTAGATCACACATGACCGGCCTGTCTATCTGCCAGACCCGTGTCAAATATTCTCTGGAGCGAAGTCCGCCCCTCTCGCTTTGGGGGAGACCCCAGGGGACGCGCTGTCCCGCGGCGAAGCTCATCTTGGAGCCCTAATGCGTTCCATACACATAGATGAAGTTTTACCCACACATCGCGCCCTCTTGAGATTATTTCGTTTCTTTGTTACGCGTTACGATTGAACACTTTCTTTTTCATTAAGATTTTCGCGTTCGTGACGGACGTTGAAAAATCACCCTCGCCAGCACCTTTCATAACTTTTCGCTTCGTGATTCAAAGCGATTACTCACATTCTATCGCCTTCTCAAATATTCATTCGTGTTTTGCCCGCTGCAAATTATCTTAATGGTTCTAACAAACTGTAATTAGACTGGGGATCGCCCTTTCTAAAGCTATTGCTGTATTTTTATGGGCTGACATGTGATTAGTTAATAACCGTATTCAATTTCCGTGATAGAAAAGTTGATCATGAAACGGGAGGGACGTAATTGAATTCGAGTTTGTATCGATCGCTGGGTTGGAGTGAGTCGGAGGTCGAAGGCCCTGGGTAGGAAATCCCGTCGACAGGCGGAGCCGGGTGCGGAACAAAGCTCCGGTAACAAAGACGTCACCGGCCGTGCTAGCGACGCGGAGTTATGACATCCATTGTGAGCAACAATACCCAACAAACGAGTTTGTATAAGCTATTAGGTACGCGCATTAATATATATTTTTTGTTCAGCCGAAAATTTAGCATTCCATTACGAGGGAGAGAAATGAAACCCGCCGCATGAATTATATTAAAATATATTTGAATATTTCATTTGACACCTTTTTTGCGGGCGGAATTTCGCTCAATCCGGCCGGCGTAATTTTTAGCGAACAGCAAAACGAAATTTTCGGTGAATAACATTCCATTTCGAATGCAAAACACGACGGGAATCAGCGTCGACACAACACTGACTGATGGCTTTGTATTCGCGATATAAATTCTTTCCGAGCTCGGACCAAATGTTTTTGTATGATTTACCATTTTCAACGTCAACATATATTTTAATGGAAACATTATCTGGTGTGTTTCCTGAGAAATATTTTTGGTATTTCAAAAGCGGCATTGACGGTAGCAGTACAGACTATTGTCAATAATAAATATATTACTTTATATTTAGATTTAAAACTACTTCAATTATAAAAACAAATAGTTTTCAAAAGATTTTCAAACGAAACATTTCAGAGAAAATAGCATTTTCCAACGAAAAACTAGCAGTCCACACAACAATAGCGGTTATATAACAAAAGTCATTAGGCAGGTTCGTACATAGTGAACTGCGAACGCAGATTATGTCTACGGCCCGCCCAGCGCACGGATGATTAATGTCCTAGCTTGAAAGACTCCCACATTTTTTTGTTTTTTTACCCGTATCGATCAATTGTTTCATTTCCTCGTAATCAAGATTCGTGTTTCCGTAGGGAATGTTATGACGAAACTCAAACATAGTTTTCATATTAACTTAAATTTCATATAGAAAACTGGATTTGATTCAAAAATGAAACGTTAAATATTTAAGAAAAACTGTGAAGTTTACAGAGAAATGTGTTTGCAACAAAAGTTTAAATTCGGTCCCATTATCAATACGCTCCGTAAAAGAGGTATTTAAGTGCATACCGTTAAAATTGCATCATTTAAATTTAAAGCAACTTAATTACATTCGTGTAAGCAATGAAGTCTTCAAGTTAAATCCTTTTTGCACGATGCTGTATCAATTAAAATTATTAAGCAGGTTTAACCTTCGCCAACGAGTTCGCTGGAAACCAGCAATTTTATTTACGACGTGTAAGCGTTTAAGAGAAATTGCATTAATCTGAATAACCGTTTGATATCATGTACGATGTTGCAATACAGTGAGTGGTGTAATCGATTTAAAAAGTTACAACTCGTTATAATGTTGAAACAATTGAAGCTATATCACCCACGGGATAAGGGCGTAAATGAAATGTCATAAAAGTCGGACTTACTCGTTTGCGTCGGGCTCGAAATATATGAAATTGTAGGACATGAATTATGGATTGTCGATACCGCTTCAAGCTGTTGCTATATTTTTTTCGTATTTCTCGGGCGCGATACCGCAACGAATTAAATTAAAAGCTCTTTTCACTTGTCATCCCTTGATGAATTTGGTATTTAGGATTACACATTCGATGCGCGTTTGTTTATTTTTAGCGACTTAAATATTATGAATGGTGGATTTAATCAGTGAGCCGAGATCGCTATATTTATCAACGACAATTAATAAGAAGGATCGCAAGTGATTTATGTATGTTACGCGAATTTATACACGATTAATTAAATGTAATAAATATAAGTTTCGTTTACATAAAACGAATGATAGTGTTAACTCTAACTAGAAATTCGTAAGGTTTCTGCAAGTATACGTATTCTGAATTTTAATTAAATTCATAATGAATATACGTATTTGAGAGGTGGTGTTCACACATACGTTCAGATTTCTTAATTTTCCTATGGTAAAAAACTCTATTTAACTATCAAATGGAACCATAAACAACAAATCCTTTTGAGTAATCAGTACAAATGCGGTCCGGGTTAAATCCGGTCAATAATTCAACACTTCATACGGATAAGTTGCACCTCCATGTTGTATAGAGGTTATGAACGTTTTGCAATAAATATTAATGGTATTCATATGTTGATAAGCTTCTGGCTGGATAAAGGTTTTCAAAAGTGATAAGTAACCAAACACCTATTTACATTGGCATATAGACTTTCTTTACAATACCAAAAATTCTGCTTTTACACCGTTTTTGAAGTTGGTAATTATTATAAGGCTTTAAAAGTACCTTTGAATAGAAACAAGTTGTCGTATTCGTGTACCTAGAAGCATGAGCTTCTAGTTATAATAAATAAATCAGTGGCGCTACAACCTTTTTAGGTCTGGGCCTCAGATTTCTGTATCTGTTTCATCATAATTTGTCAATCTAATAGGCAAGTAAGTGATCAGTCTCCTGTGCTTGTCACACGCCGTCGACTTTTTGGGTTTAAGGCAAGGCCGGTTTCCTCACGATGTTTTTCTGCACCGATCGAGCAAATGTTAAATGCGCACATAGACAGAAAGTTCATTGGTGCACAGTCCGGAATCGAACCTAAAATCGCAGGGATGAGAGTCGCACGCTGAATCCACTAGGCCAACACTACTCTTGAAAAATTAATATAATATTCTAATTAATACAGTTCTATGTTATTTATCATAGGTATTTTAAAAATTCCTGCTTAACTAACACAGTAATGAACAGCGGTAAATTTGAAAAAGGAATGTTCCGAATCTTACCGTTATTGTATCGATTTCATCACATTACGTTTGTCCACGATTATATGAAAATAGAGGGTCTAAATGATTTATGGGCGCCCGGCGTCACATGCAACAACCCTAGATGCGTTTCCGGTACAGACGCGATGTTTGAACGCGATTTGTGAAATATTTTTATCAAATCATATAAAAAGCGTTAGTTGTAATAATATCTTCTTACATTTAAATTCAAAAAACTATCTTTCAAAAGCTTGTTTGCTTCTATTTCCTCGGATCAGTTTCAAACTGAATAAACGTGACTTCAACTGAATAAAAATCGTGTTCAACAATTAACAGAATATTGACAGAAACTTTTCATCTATGTAGGTATATAATATTTAACTTACAAATAGGATTAAAAAAAATATTTTGTGAAAATAAAAACTAGAACATGTCGATATTGTTGTTTTGTATGGATTAATTTTTAAAAAACCCCCCCCTCCTTTTTTATAGAAAACCACATTCCTACGTTTTCACTGACGAAAAATGGATGCAATGAAAGTAGTTAGGTACAGAAGTGCCGTACACGTTTAATTGTAATCAATATAATATGTATGTATTATATTAAAATTAACCCCCCCCCCCCCCCCCCCAAAAAATTTTTCCCCCCCCCCCCCCCCCCCCAAAAAAGGGGGGGGGGCCCCCCCCCCCCCCCCACCGCAACTTCATAATTAAGTTTTCATATTCGACGTGCGGTTAATACTTACTATCGGTTTAAATCTGACGTTGGAATCATGTTTTATGCATGTGAGTGCGATGAGGCCACTGTAACATAAAGCCCTAAGGGAGAGGGATTTCATGAGCTTTCACGTACGATTCTGTGCTCGTAAGATCGTCCATCCGTACTTATTTATATAGCTGCTCACGAGTTTGCGTTAATACTTTTGTACATCGCTGTATACTTTGGTAGAGTTATCTTAGACCTATGTGCGCGTATGCTCTAAAGACGTGTGTTAGAAAAGGCTGTGCACCAATTGATTTCTTTATTTGTACAAGTATAATTTATTTTAAAAGGCACACAGAGACACTTCCAGAGAATACAAGATACAAAAAAACAATACATGCAACAACGACAAGTGTGCACATCATTTAAATGAAACATTACAATTTTAAAGAGAAAAGAAATCATACAATAAAAATGATCGACACTAAACGTTTTATATTATAAGATTAAAAAATACAAATATGCAATTTAAAAATGTAATATATTCTTTTCAATTATTATTGGTGACGAAACACGCTATGTCAGGCAAAGAAGGTGGATTATAGACAATAAATAAAAATCAAAGAAATTCGTACAGAAATATGTGTATGACACTTTTGTTTCTGTGGTTATTTTAAAACCCCTTTTAAATTAACATTAAGAGGAACAAAAAAGTATTTTTATACAGCATAGCACTTGAAGAGCGTCGCTACTTAAAACAGTTTTTGCTTATTCTGGTTCGCACTTATGTTTAACAGGAGCTATTAATAAACATTTTTATGTCATTGACACTTCTCTATTAACTTACATTTATTTTCTGCTCTCTTTTCATCACAAAGTAAACACAAATAAATAGATAGGGTGGTTACTTTAGGCAAATTCCTTAACCCTTCCAAATGTATTATAATGTATTACACTGTTATAGTTTGAGTACTTATAGATGTCTTTTATACTATGCAAAAGATCACAATTGTATTAACAGTAATGTAACTAACTTTAAAGGGAAAATGCTTTAATAAAAATATCACTATTTATGGATATACTCAAAGCCCATCAGTAGGACGTAAATTATTGGTTGACCCCAAAATTAATTTGCGAATTCCGTAATCAGGCCGAACGTAGATATGTGGAGCTATCCTATCGATATTTACATTCTTGAATGCGTCCCAAAATCCGGCAGGGATGAGGCTGTTATCAATTTCCTGTGCAACAAGTGGCCGATAATTTTGAACCCGACTGCATTCTCTTACATTCTTCTGCCCGTTTAATGAAAATCCCGTGGATATGTTGAAGTAATGTTATGCATATTGTATCAAGTTATAATGGGATACAAGATTTCGTATGACGCACTGGTTATTGCCCGTAAGTTTATGTGGATACAGGAAGGGTAAATCGCGTATTTCACCTTTCTTGTGAGCGATGTAGTTAACTTTGACGGCTCATTGGTCTAGTGGTTAGCACCCCTGACTGCGAATCCATGGGTCCCGGGTTCGATCCCCGGCTGAGACAAACATCGATGTGATTAGCATTTGGTGTTGTGCTTAAGTCTTGGGTGTGCAAATGTGTATTTATATGTCTATCTATCTATATATGTATGTATATCCGTTGCCTAGTACCCATAACACAAGCTTCACCAGCTTAGCATGGGACTAGGTCAATTGGTGTGAATTGTCCAATCATAAAAAAAAAATACTAATAATAATAACCATATAAAGTATGATCTAAGAACATTTGAAAATGCGAAATTTAAAAGACGTGACATTGGGATGTGTCTTTGGTTTGTATATAAAGAGGTCGATATTCTTTCAATTGGATCTTATTTTGATTCGCTTTCGAGAATGACTTTATACTTGTCCTTATCTTTTCTTTCATGTCGCTTTGTGGCATAGTTTTGTTTTACTTAATCGTATATTTTTCAAAGTGAATATAATAATATCAGTGGCGGCTACAACCTTTCAGGTCTGCGTCTGAGATTTCTGTATCTGTTGTCAATTAAATAGGCAAGTAAGTGATCAGCATCTTGCGCCTGACACATGCCGTCGACATTTTGGGTCTAAGGCAAGCTGGTTTCCTCAAGATATTTTCCTTCACCGTTCGAGCGAATGTTAAATGCGCACATAGACAGAAAGTCCATTGGTGTACAGCCGGGGATCGAACTTACGACCTCAGTGATGATTGTCGCACGCTGATGCCACGAGGTCAACACTGCTAATTAATTACCCTGTTTTATATCACCAGTTGATATACTCTATCTTGTAAATATGATTTTTTAACTACGCTCGTTACATTTGCGTCATTTTATACGATTCCATGTTAGAATTTACAAATTCCTCGAAGTTCGCGTGCCCATGTTGTAATGCAACCTGTTTTGCGTGTTTCTGCAATGAAAACAATCAAACTGAGCGTGTTAGGTAGAATTTTGTTTTCAATTTTAATTAAAATTTTATTTCTGGTTTATGAAACTTACTTATCGACTAGGCAATGTCTTTTTTTGAACTGAAAGTTATATGAATGTTGAACTTAACTAACGTAATAACGTTATATACAAATAAAACATGATATTTTAGTTATTTTGTAAAAATATTTTATTAATACAACATTTTTAATGGACAAAGCAATCTTATTGGATATGTTACGCAAGTTTGTTTCGGAGAAGTATCGAACAAGCAAAAACAATTAACAAATTGATAAGCTCAAAACAATTTTCAATTAACTCCGGCTGAGTGTTCGCTGTTTACAAATAACCACCATTTATCAGGAATACCTATGCAGTTTTTAATCTGCCTCGGGCCAGATGATTAACTGCCTTGTTTCTTTACGAAGTTAACATTTTTTATCGTCCAATTTCAGAACGGAAGCGGGGACGGCAGACGTACACGCGATACCAGACCCTCGAGCTGGAAAAGGAGTTCCATTTCAACCGGTACCTGACGAGGAGACGACGGATCGAGATCGCCCACGCCCTCTGTCTCACCGAGAGGCAGATCAAGATCTGGTTCCAGAACCGGCGCATGAAGTGGAAGAAAGAGAATAAGACCAAAGGAGAGCCTGGCTCGGGAGACGAACCGGACAACATGAGTCCACCCACCTCCCCCCAGTAAGCCTCCATCGCGCGATCAGTGAGTCCGTTCCAAATTCGAACGGCCGTCAGTGTTCATTTATTTTCATACAAAAATTGTGCACGGAAGCGATCGTTAAGGAGTTACTTGAACAGTTTAATTTGTATAAATTGTATGTTGGACTTTTCATAATATTACAATACTAATACGTAACTTAGTGACTTGACATAAAGAGTAATGATAGTGTGATGAAGAGATTTTTACAATTGTTAAGTATAAATTAATTTATAGAACAATCTCAATACCAATAATTACCAAAAACGCAGTGTGTACGAACTGCGACTTTATGTGATTTCATTATTTATGTAGTTGGAAATTTATTAAACTCTGATGAGTTTATTTCTTCTTAATCGGGATATTTATTTTAAAATGCTTCACTTACACGCTCTCTACGAATTTATTTTAAAAAATCGAATAAGATTTTAACTTTACGAAGTTTTATTTGACGTAAGCGAAGCATTTTAGAATAATTCAACGAAAATCTTTATGTTAATGTTATCAAAACACAAAACCGTAAGGACCTCTTATAATTAACCATTGATAAGACGGCAATTAGTATCTATATTGTTATTATTTAATATATTTGATGTTTTATTTCTAATTAAGCTATCGAAACGCTATTTTGTACATATAAAAACTATAATTTAGAATTTACGATTATGTACAATTGTTTTAGTGTGAATATATGATATTAGTTCTCGTTTTGTCTGACGAGTTTATTGTGAATCTTCTCTGATTTTGATTTTAACTTCGTTGAGGGAAGGCCAGTTACACGTGCAATGTATACGATTTTGACGACACATATACGTAATGATTACTGATAATAATAAATCTAATAGGAAATTTATATACTTAATTGTAAAGTACGACTCATGTTTGTAATTTATTGAATGTTAATGCGAACACAGAGAAATTCATCGGAGGATTAAAAAGTGGATAGTTACCTTCAATTTCTTAAACTTAACTTATTTTTCTCATTCTATACGAAAAGTAGGCTTGGAATGTACAGTGTACACAGTATACCAAAGTTAGGGAATAAACTTGGTTGTTCATTATAAATAGTAGATGCGTCGCCCTTTCCTATACAAGTCTTGGAGACATGATAAATGGTATTTTTATAAAATCATTGCCTAAAACCGATATACGTAATGAAGTATCGTACATAATATTTACTTATAAACATTAGTTTCACTACTATAGTGTGATTTCGGTAATATGTTTATTTTTCATAGGTTTTAGCGAAAGTACAGTCTCAGTGATCCGTATACATTTAATTTGTGCTGTGTTAAGTAAATGTAAAATAACTGTATATTGTCGATATTAAACACGATATTTATTTATTGATTCGCTTAACTAGGTTTGCTTACACTTTGGGTATGTTTTTAAGGAGTCTGGCTGGGATTTTAACTGTCGAGATGTGACTGTCAACTGTCAAATGTCAGATCGATACGTAAACGTATTTTGACAGGTGTCAAACGAATCACACCTTGATATGTAATTTGGATGATTTGCTCAATATTGTTTTTATTAAGCTTATATTTTGGTTTAGGTAATTTCTATCCCATTTAATTTGGTCAGTAAAATTTTATGTACTGTATAAAAACTAAGACAATTCTATCTAAAATTCTGTTTATACGACGTATTTTTTTTTAAAGATCCCTTGCCAGATGTGATGTTCACGATTGGTTTGTAAAATTTTATAATCAAATTAATTAGGTTATTAAAAATAAGTTCTCACAACTAGTTCTACGCAGTCTGTAACGTAAACGTAGAAACCTGCGTATGCGCAATTTTATTTACCTTTGTCCTATCGATTCGAAATTTATGAAATATAACTATAATTAGTAATTTAATAAGGTTAGGCGAGACGATATTGTCATAAATATATAAATACATGAAATTAATAAAGCATAATGATTGTAATGCAGATTTTTATTGTTCATACAATTTTACGATTTTTCTTTGCATTATGCAAAGGAAATGTTACCGAGCTAATCAGTTGTTTTAATATTAAGATCCATAACTTATGTGTGGAATATGTATAGAATTTTATATGACTTCTAACGACTCCTTCTTCTTTCTCTTCTAAACCAGCCGTTACGCTACGAACCGTAGCTTTGTATGTGAGCTAAATTAAAAAAAAAGCCTGTTAAATTTGCTTTATACCAAAAATACGACTTGTAGCAATAACGAGTGGTATTGTGAACGTTCGTAAATTGACTACTATTCTATGGTTACGTATAAAATACAATAAAAAAAAAACAAATTTAATCTGATATTGAACATAATGATTAAACAGATATACATAAGTCATATACCCAACCACTAATGACAATTTAATGATTTTGCGTGGGTCTCGATTGGTCGTATACTTTTCTGTTTCTAGGTGTGGCCTAATCACTATTTAATAACCAATGCATATTCATCATAATGTGTTTTTGACAAGTTCGAAATTGTGGCTATTATTTCGGCCCTAATGGTATACGAAACTGTATGAAAAAATTACCTTTAATTAGAAAAAATGTAGCGGGATTTCGATGCGAATACTTCTTTTATTCATTCGTTATAAAGTAGAAACGAAAATCATATTTTTATGCTGAATTGATGGATCCATATAACATATTATAGTCTGTTTTGTACTTCCGTTATATTTATCTACATTATAGACAGAAAAAATTGTATTTTTTTGTATGTATGTATTGAAAAAGTACTGGGCCGGTTTAAAAAAAATCACCATTAGAGATATTAACAAAGTCCCTGAGTAATGACGCTTTATATATATGTATATATATGGCAAAATATTATAAAAAATTCTCAGTCGTGCAATGCCGGAACATGCACTACTTAAAATACTATGTGTGTTAATTCATAGAAAATTTTTCACTTAGAATTTTAACATCTTAAAATGTATTTCATAAGACAGTGTTTTATCTCATTAATTACTTACAGAGTGACAAAGACAGCAACTTGCTTGCTTAGAAAATTTAGTTTTGATAGTGTTTTTGTTTCCTATACATTGCCGTTACTTATGTGTTCACAAATAAGTTTTAGGAATTTTTTCTTTAGATGTTTTAAAAACCTCTTCAAGATTATTTTATAAGACAATGTTTTATCTCATATACTTACATACAGAGTGACAAAGACAGCTTTATGCTTACTAAGATAATTTTGGTTTGATGATATTTTTGTTTCCAAAGCTTGCATATGTTTAACTTAAATTACACATCATTACCTACGTCCTTTCATATAATATTTTGTTACTTTTATATACTTAACATAATGTCATAAAAGAGATGGTAAATGGCTATTATTATATTTTTAATAGTATGATTGCGTATAGATTTATCGAAAATAGATCGCACTACCAATGGGGTCAAAGTTCAAATTAAATTGGTCAGTCAGTCATCTCAATGTGTCACAATGATAGCCAAGTGTTATTTATGACGCCCCTCGTGCCATTGCACTTCATTCATATTAGGTTCATGGCCATATCGCTATTACTTCATAAAGACCTTATATTCATGTTTTAAACTTTAAAGCATTGTTTTGTAAACTAGACTACAGAATAAAAATATTTAGTAAAAATATATAGGTACTAGAAATTATAAGAGATATAAAACGATTCTACTAAAAATATTATCAACTTTCAGTGTACATGTCTACGTACTATGGCCGCTAGATGGCGCCACTCTCCATATTAATGTTTAATGTTTTCTTTAATAAGTTCTTTCAAGTTTTATCGTTTGTCCATCATTGTCATGCCACAGGTTTTAAAGCGATTCACATTCTTGTAAAATCTTAATAAAAAATATCTCTATACTAATAGTAAAAATATCATTTAATTTACCATCAAAATACATTTAAATTAATATGAAGAAGTCCTTAAACTTACAATATGTCTCATAATAAAGACATAAATCTTTTGAGCGTCCTTGCCTCATAACATTCAATTTTATTGACTGCAATAAACTAAACCAATGCTTAAATCAACGCTCCTGTAAGTAACACCTTGTAAACATTTTACCTCTCTCTCGCGCTTAAGCTTACCCTCGCGTATGGGATAAGGACAGGAACTCACTCACTGCAACGACATAGTTTGGAAGAGTTGACTAAACTTTGTAAAAAAAAAGAACTTTATATGCATGGAAATAAGGTTCACTTTTAATTGTAAAATAAAATTTATAGGTTTTTAATGGATCTTTAAATCGCAATAACGATTTGTTTATAGTTTGTTAAGCCGGCGATCCTTTGTATGATCTTAATTTATGATGCATTATTGAGACATTTATCATTTCGGTGTGAGAGTTGAATTGTCCATTGTTTAAATGGGGTTTCAATAATTTTGAAATTGTAATATTGCAATGTTTTGTATAAGTATTAATTGGTTTATGAAAGTTTAATATTTATAAAAACAATCGAAATGGATATCTATTGCAGCATTTTTAAATCCACATTCGAATTTCCAAAAAAAAAAAATAAGCAGCTTTGCGATTTATGTTATTTGGAATTAGAATGTGGTATTCGTAGCGTCGTTTAAAAATAAATGTTAATCTATGACCCAAGAGAATACAACCCAACGCTTTCGAAATTCAAAATTGGCGCGTAAGTCAGCCATTTTGTTGTGGGCGGGGTGTTCTGCGCTCCGCCTCTACCACACCCAAATGACAACCACTCGGACGCAGCCCAATCATTTATTATATCGTACGGTGGGCGCCACAGGTATCGGACACTACAAATATTTTATTAAAATATAGGTTATTTAAAATGAACGTTATTCTGAATAAATTCTATGATAAATATCTGACAGGCGAAAGTTTGCGCAATTTTTACTGAATAAAGAAGATATCTAGACGTAATGTTCTTACCTAAATCCACACAGTGGGTTTAAATCAAATAACATTCGTATAGACATATTTAATTTTACAATGTACGCATAAATGCATTAATTTATGGCAAAACTAAAGAATACGTAATCTCCTTGG